ATTCCGTGTGGAACAGAGCGCGTGAGGGACAAGCAGGAGTCAGGAGGAAGAGAAAGCTCCTGTGCTGCGATTTAGCAGGGCGCATGCTTTCATTGTCAACACACCGAGACGAGAGATGTATTAGCGACAACAATTCGTCCATGATAAAGGACTGGGCACTTACATCCAGGAAGGGCGTTTGCGAAGCCTGCGTTTCCTGTCCTCCATGGCCACCGTGGGGCGGGAGTTATCGAGGATGGAGAAGACTCGCGATCTGTACCCATGAACGGTGATAACACGACGTCATCAATCGATTGAAATGTGCGTTAGAAAGCAACGGCGTGCCATGTTGGCACCTTACAGGCTGCATTGCATCGATACCCACCTCAAGCTCATGAAGGCGAAAAACGCCCGGACGAGCCAAATGCTTGCTTGCTTCGACAAGTTGAATCTCAGGAACGCCTTTTCCATCCCGTACATAAAGGCTACAATTGTCGCAAATTGTAAGGCAGTGGCCAGTATCCAAGTGCCTAGGGCACCCCACTGCATAGGGGGTCCTTTCTTCGACGCGCGGGAGGGGAGGTTGTCCAAGTACTCTGTCCCCGAAGCCGCCACGACCATGGACCTGGATGGGGCCACCCGCCGCGCAAATGACGAAAGATAAGCTATCGTTATGCGCGTGGGGCGTGATGGCTGCCCTGTAATGAGGGTTTGGTGCGGAGATGGGTGTAGGAGCAGCTTGCTTGTTTGTCGTGTCGTGCTGGGGAGGCCCTTCAACCGAAAAGCATGGGTGGCCGCCAGAAGAAGCAAGAGTCCCAGTACCAGGCAATTCGCCCTACAGACCAAAGACAGCGGTAGCATGGTCGTCTGTTTCATGTATAGGTGGTTTTTAAATGAATAAGGGGCAAAATAAATCGTAATTGCAGGCGGAACCTTTCCTACACTGGATGCTCGCCCGTGTCCGCCCCAACCTATCCTGCCAAGAAATGACGACGCCACAAGGCGAACTATACGGCGTAAATGCTAGTCAATATGCTCCAGACGTCGTGACAGAAGCAACTATCCTCATGCATGGCCCCTTTTTGCACATGTGCGTGTGCTCGAGTGATTATATGGAACGCTAAGTCCTGACAAATTACCCCTCTCTGTCTCTCATCCTACCATCCCATAGAGGCCCCTGGTGGATACGTGCCATCGTCCATCAAAAATAGCGAACGAGCCGATCGCACGGGGGCGGTCACGCTCTGCACACGCGGGCAATCGCACTGAGGCATGAGCCAGGGCCGGCGCCACAAACGAAATCATGGCCACCACGATGCTGCCCGTCGTACCTCTTGCGGCAAGAAAGGGGAGCTCACGCCCTCCTCTTGCGCCCGACACCTGGACCATGTTTCCGACCTGGCCATGGCCTTGTCCTCGGTCACATCATCTATAGAGCCCTGGGGGTCCTTACCAAGGGAAGGAGACCTCGCCTCGAGGGTTACAGACCTCCCAGTCCTGACGACCTCCCCCCTGGCAGGGTTGTCCCTCGCACACATGCTCCCAGGAATTTCTCAACCCGAAGCACGCACCTGCGTGGCCGAGTCCTGGCAAGCCATCACAGGACCCGACGCCTTACTTCCAGAGGAATACCTGCGCCTCCCCACGGCCGAGCTTCAACCTCTGTTCGAAAGCGACCTGCGGGCTTTGGCCGACGCACGGAACCCCCCGCGGGAACGTTGTCGGCTCGCGCATTACCTGGGCCTATTCAGTGGTACCCCTCGTGGGGCTTGCATGTACGCGCAGGCAGACTGGTACGTGCCCACGCTCTACGGCGTCGTGGAAGAAATCAACGGCCTGTACGCGTCGGGCCAGGTGGTGGCCCGGCCTTGCATTGCTGGCTGCGCCATCCTGGCATTGACGGCTTGCGTCAAGCACGCGATGCGTACCCCTTTCCCGTCTTCGCCTTCCCCTTCCTCCACTCGCCCGCTGCCCCATGCGGTGGTGGACTTCTTTTTGAATCCCTCCGCCGACGCCCTCCCTCCCTCC